AATCGAGGGTCTCAGTCTGCTCCCTGCCCCTTCCCTGGTAATTACGAACGAGAATGGGAAAAGTCCATCAGATCTTCCATCTCAAGGAAGGGAGGCTGAAAAGCAAATCCCAATTCAATCACCGAGACCCCAAAATGGTCCATTCGACTCCTCTCCGTCTAATGCATTTCCAGCTGCTGCAGTTAGGACGAAGATGAGAACCAATGACGACGATGCAGCAATTGTAAACGAAAATTGCGAATCAAATCCGTTTAGACAGAGCGAGACGAAGAGGGTTTTGAACAGTCCGACGAAAGATCCTTGTCGAAAACGAAGGAGGACACTACAGAATATCGATCCTAATAATCAGATTCTGGCGTCTTCTCTTCTTGAATCTACCCAATTTTCTGCCAGCTATAACATTCAAAACTATCAAAATGAAGGTCAGCTGCGAGCCGGCGACAATGGTGACTCAGAACTCCCACCACGTCCCCGGACGCCAACTCCGTCGCAGATAAGGTCTCAGCTTGGATACAAAGAAAAAATCCAAACCAAACATGCTAGCAGACCATCAGCTTCCCTCAATGCGGTCCAACACGAACAAAAGCTCTCCTTTATCGCAACCCCGAGCCATGTCTTTGACGATAGTAGGAAAGGATCAATTACCACACAAGATTTTTTGAACGAAGCCACTAAGATAATGGACATAATACGTGCCAGAGGAGGCGGCAAGCGTAATCATGGTTTATCGAGTGTTGAAGAGACTGACCATTTGAGTGATGCTGCAAGTGATATAGACTATTCCTATGATGATGCTGGTGAGGAGGAAGAGGAGTCGACACAGGAAGCATTTTCAAGACCACCCAGCCGCGAGGGGACTATTGATCTTCGCAGATTACACGAACCACGCTCGCAACATCCCCGTATAGTGAGCCATTTGAAGAAGTTTGAAGACAAAGACGACTTTGAGCTTTATATGGGGGGATCGGTGATGTCTTTGCGCCTTGATCGGGAACGGAATGTGGCTACTTATTCCATTCATCGGCAGGAGGGCGAGGATGATGGTGTTGAAAGTAGTCCAAAGAATATACGTATTCGTGGACGGTCATCCTCAGGGAAGAGGGCAACAAGCTCATCATCAAATTTACCCAACGGTTCTAATAGTCATAGCGGCGCGAATTCCCAACGGGAAATATCGTCGCCCAGGTCGACTGGAGGCTCATTAGGCACAGGATCTTCCCGGGGCTCTTCGAGCGGCTCTGGAGCCAAGGGTATTATATCTTCGGATATGATAGCCCACTTAATCCCCGAACAGGTCGGTGCGATGACTTATGACCGCTCCGCGCATGCCTGGGTGAAAGGTAGAGATGGGATGATACATGCCGAGGAAAGACCTCCCGTGTCGAAGGCGATGGAGGAAGACGTCATTATCAGTGAAGAAGACCCCTTCCAGGATATTCCGGACCTTAGCGTTGATGAATTACAAGAACTTATGGCTGCGCAGACGTTTTCATCGCCCGCGACGGCGAAGGGGAAATTATCCTCGATGTGTGCTGCTTTCGGTCAAGGGCGGCAAGATAGTCAAAAAGAGTGTAACGAACCGCTGCCACAGCAACAGGACGAGAAGGGGACTGGCGCGGAGAATCGCCAGCAGATTCCTGATTTCCGACCAAATACCCGAGACGGCGGACGTTTTGAGACGAGTTCCGTGCAATCGAAATCTACGCGGTTTACGTCGAGTTGTCCCAAGCCGGAAACCAGAGCTACGTCTTGGGGTAGTGAGGAGTTAGTAGGTATTCCTCAGCCTGCTGAGACTAATGATTTGCGAGATTGTCCGAAGTGTGGTGACGGTCAGCCTCCTGGCGGCGAAAGACGTGGTAGGGTGGCTACCATTTCGTTCTCATCCCCTTTGGTATCTCATGTGACGTACCGGGAGGACTCGCTGAGTCCAGTCGAGTCGGAACATCCGTTACCATCTACTGTGCAACATGACCACTACGGATCGAGAGACTTCAGGGATTCCCTAAGCCATCCGGGTGTCTTACCGCGCCCTTACAACCAAAGCTCGCCGTTCCGGATTTCTTCGCGCCAGAGTAGTTCATTCGATAGTCGGACTTTCAAGGGAAGGCGTATCTCCCGGATCGATGAGCAAACTGAAGATTCGGCCAACGACGACCCTCATACCCAACATCATGGCCTTTCTGTTATCCAGGCCCCAGGGCATGAGGACCGCTCAATGATTTTACAAGGGAGCCCAAACGTGGATACCAGTTACAGCTTCCAGCTTGCCCCGCTGTCAGATTTTACGCTTCATCAAATTGATGAGTCTATGCGACTTGATGTTAGTTATGTTGCTGAACGGACTCATCCGACCTCTCTCAGACAGGTGCACGGGACATATACTCTAGCGACCCAAGATTTGATCAAGCACATCACCGACACAGAGCCGTACGAACCATACTGGGAACATCTCCGTCAACTGAACCTTCGCGGGAAAGGTCTGATAACGCTACACAGACTGAACGAGTTCTGCTCACGACTCGAGGAGCTTGATATATCTGACAACAATGTTGGCCAGGTTAACGGTGTCCCCTCAAGCATTCGCACGTTGAGGGTCCCGCGGAACTGCTTGTCCAACTTAACAGCGTGGGGCCATCTGTCTAATCTTCAGTACTTGGATGTGTCTGGAAATAAGTTGGAAGATCTCGATGCGTTTTCGAACCTTGTCCATCTAAGGAGTTTGAAAGCCGATGGGAATCGGATTCGGAATATTCGTGGCATTATGGGGTTGAATGGCTTGTTGACGTTGAAGGTGAGGGGAAATTTGATTGATGAGGTTGATTTTGGCGAAGCAGAGTTGTAAGTTTATTTGTTATTTTCCGGTCTAAATATTGCAAAAATGGTGTGGATCGCTAACGAGGATATAAAATTAAGAACACGGTTGATAAAGCTGGACTTGCGTGACAATTGCCTCACGAGTGTACGCAACATTGGATTCATCAAAACTATCGAAAAGTTGGACCTTCGAGGCAATCGTATTCGGCATTTCGAATCGTTGGAAGTCCTTCATTGCCTGCATTCACTCACCCTATCGAACAATAACATAGAGAAGCTAAATATTGGGAAATTTCCCAACCTCCACCTCCTCTATGCAGACAGGAACCATCTCTCCACAATCAGCGGTCTCGATCAATGCCATTATCTGGATTGCTTATCCCTTCGCGAACAAACCCTGCCATCTGCTCCTCAACAATCTGAGAACGACCAACTTCCCCTTATCCACCTCCAACTCGGTGCAGCCGCCTCGCTCCGGAAACTATACCTATCGTCCAACCGGCTCTCACCAGCCCTCCTCGCCCCATCTACCAGCGTCCCCAGCCTACAATACCTTGACATTGCCTCGTGTGCCCTAGAAACCCTCCCCAGTGCCTTTGGCACAAGTTTCCCAAATATTCGCGCCTTGAATCTTAACTTTAATGCGCTCTCCGATATATCTGAGTTACATGGGCTGACGCGGCTTGGCCGCGTTTTGTTAGTCGGGAACCGCATCTCGCGGCTTCGGAAACTTTGTCAGGTTCTGAGATCTGTTGGCGGCCGCTGTGGCGCGCTGGGTGAGGTGGATTTACGAGGGAATCCGATTACGGTGGGGTTCTATCCAGCGCCTGTTACGGGGAGCGGGAAGGTGTGGAGGGATGAGAAAGGGGCACTTGTTGGGGGTGGGGAGGTGGGGAGACGGAGGTTTAAAAATCGTCAGGGGTATGGGCACGGTGGAGACGAGAGGCAGTTGCAGGTTCGTGAAAGGGATGATAGGAATGAAGATGATACGGGCTTCCCAACTTTAGGTGGCTGTACGGATATCGCGCGGAAGAGGTTCGGCGATGAGGTTCATAATCAGGATGATGCTGAAGCTGGGGCTGGGGTTGAGATTGAGATCGACGACCACTACACCGTGCCGCCGGCAAATGTCATTGCGGATCGCAAGTATGCCGTGCACCTAGATGAGGCGACGAGGTTGCGGAGAAGAGTTGTGGAACTTATGGTCCTGGCGGCGGCGGCGGGGAGGTTGAGGGTGTTGAATGGGCTTCCTGTTGTGAATGGTTGTGCAGGGGGAAGTGTGGGTGATGTTGGGGATGAGGGTGCTGGTAGTAGTAGTAGTGACAGTGGCGGGAAGGGGAGAAGTGGGTATGTGAGGAAAGACGAGGTGTGGAGGCGGTTGGAGGAGTTGGGGGTTTTGAAGAGGAAGAAAAAGAAGCAGAAGAGGGGGGTGGCGGAGCGGATTGATGGGTGATGTTCCTTGTCTTGTTCTTGTTGTTCTTCTTTGGCTTCAATTGGAGTTACCAGGTGAGATTTGCTTTTGTTCGCATCATTCCATGCCTATGAGGCCTCTCGGCTACGGACTGCGGCGGCGCGGGAGCGTTTTTGAAATTTGTTTTCCTCTTCTCCATGGTGTTTGGGACTAGGATATGATGGATTTGGGCCTTTTATTCTCTCTTTTTATTTTTGGTGTTTGTTTGGCTTTCTTGTATAGGGGATTTTTTTCCCTTCCTCTCTCAATAATACCCTGTTCTAAATTGCATGTAGCATGTTTGGGTTTGGACTTGTGTTCAATGGTTTTTTTCTTCTTTTTTCCCTTCCGCTTTTTATTTCTGTCTGATTAAATTTCTGCGCACGATGTGGCTGGTCCCGTCCTAAATTTGAAATTTGGGTTTTGCTGGCTTGTTGATTATTGATAATTCCACCTAACACCGAAACATTTATATATATTCACCTGGCAGTGTGCATTTCTACTTGTCCGCAGCCCAACAGGAACGGTATCAAACCAATAGCCATTCCAACTGGGGTAAGTAAGCCAGGTTTATCTTAAAAACCAAGTTCGAAGCCAATACAAATTAAAAAAAACCAGGTTGATCGATCAAATCAACATGCCGCTCCCCGTGGTTTAAAAATAGGGATGAAAAAAGGGGTTCACGTTCACTCTGGAATAAAGTCCATTTTTCCGAGGCCCTTACTAAGAAACAGCTGGTCCTGTGGTCTAGTGGTATGATTCTCGCTTTGGGTTCACATCCTGATCTGCGAGAGGCCCCGTGTTCGAACCACGGCAGGACCCCGTTTCTTTTTGCATTTTTCTTTTTGAATTTATTTTATTAAACGCATCCCACCACCTTTTTCTTTGCTCTACTTTATCTTATTTTCATTCTGTGTGTAGGAAACAGAGAGTTATCCTCAGTAGACATTTTATTCAATTGGAGAACTCCATCCATCAATCACCCCGACGTGAGGATGGAAAATAGAGACATCTATCTATCCATCTATGGAGTACTTACCAGCAAAATTGCATATTTAACCACGTATGTAGTAGTCACCCTCCTCCGGCAAGTTCTCGGGCCAAAGGCTGAGAGTTGATGATGACCCTGTCCGAGCCCCAGTCGCCTCTCTAACACGCCGTTTCCATTATCAATAAACCTCTTTTGCCTAAGCAGCCCTAGCTCTAACCAAGACAATGTGTGAGGGATTAATGGCGGGACGCCCTTCGGGATAGGGGTGTCGCCAGCTGCTCGGGTTAACGAAGTTGCCTTACCCCCGGGACGGAGGAGGAGGAGGTGGTGGAAAGTATCCCCAAAGTTGAAAGAACGCTGGCTCCTCGTGGAGTGTCCTGGACGTCTAATGACGGGTAGGAATTGGAGGTGGTAAGAGGTTTTGTTTTCATGCGGACGGATTGAGTTTAGAGGGCTGAGAAGCTGTGGCTCCACGATGCTCGCAGCTCGGGTAGAGGTGATATGGGGCGACTTGGCTCCTCCCGTTCCCACACATGGTATGGTGATATTTAGTTACCCAGCACGTACTCCGTACACCCTGGACGGAGCTATACGTTGTAGAAGCAGAGTCAAGTCAAATCTCTCATAGTAACTAATAATAGACTGTTAACCGTAGACTGGCCAAAGCACTGTACCGTGAGCCTGACCGCTAGATAAGAAGGAGAGACGGAGAGAAGGAGAGAAGCCAGATATCAGATCTTAGCTGGTTCCTGTCCACCCACAAAGCAGCGTATGTATGTGGAGCTGGCGAGCTCGTGGGAGCAGGGCGGGGCTTGATTGGGCCGGCGCGGAGGGGGGAATCCATTTCCCTTGTATCCATGTTGCGCGCAGCCGGGTTGTTACTGGTCGCTGCTACTACTGTGTACCTAGGGAAGTAAATTAATTGCGTGACAACAAGTGTCTGGAGTTGTTGCTGGTGCTGGTGCTGTAGTGTTATGTTTCTGATAGTTGTTGTGCTGTGAGCAAAGATGGAGAGATGGAGAGATAAACGTGGAGAGGAACCGTCGTTGCAGTGGCTGGGGGGAAATGGTCTGGCCCCGGCGGTGTGGTGCCTGGGGCTTGGATGACGATGTATCTTGCACGGGAAATAGCATGGAGAGTGACCTTGCATCAGAGCCTCATATACACGTATCTGTCTCGGGAACAAGCTACTTTATGCTATTTTATACCAATGTGTTCTTTCTATCCTTTGTATCCCGTATACGGGCAGCAGTGGGTAGTTAGTAGCAGCTGTCTACAGCGTATGTGATGCTTCCTGTGGCTCAGTTAGTTACCTTTAACCTAGAAGTCCCCAGACAGCACATGGGGCAATCAGCCGTTGTGAGATGGGCAGGAAGCTAGCAGGCTGATGCTGGCCGATATTGGTGGCGGACGATTGGCTGTAGCCGGAGCGGCAGCCGTCGTACAAGCTTTTTTGAGTTTCTGTGCTTTTTCTCTTGGGTTGTTAATTATGATTATCACTGTATTCCTCCTCTGCAGATTCCAGAGCCGTTAGTCAGTTGATTGCTGTTGAATTTCACCAGCATGCTTCATTATTGACTACCATGGCACAGATACAGAATGAAGGGAAATAGCGAATTAAATAGCTAGATATATACATATATACATATTCCTTCCCCCCTCTTATCTAATTCTTGTTGTTGAATTATTTATTTTATTTTTATTTATTTTTATTCTTTTTACGTATATATAAGTTATACATTTGAGTTTTGTCACCAGCCACCGCCATCACCCGCATCCATCATCAGACACTTCGCTCGCCTCGTCCCCGTCCAAGTCTGCGAAACTCACAGCTTCATTTCTTCCCCAATCAGTCATCCTCCTCTCTCTCTCACACATAACTCCTCAACCCTGACTTCATCTGCTATCCCTTCTATTCTTACTTCGACCTTCCTCCTCTTCTTCATTCTTCTCTCTTTTCTTCCTTCTTCCTAATTGCGTCTTTGATCTTTTTCTCTCCTTCGCCTCCTGGTCCTAGTTCTCCCCCCGATAATCGCACTGGCGTGACCAATGTTTTCCCCATGTCAACACCTTCTTCCGCTCCCGTTGATCCCTCGCCCACAACCTTGGTGACACCTGCGCCCAATGCCCCTCATGATTCGAGCTGCCTGCAATCGCCTCCAACCTCTAAAGCCGTAGCCAAAGCCAACAAATCCCTCGGCCGCTGCCCGCTCAGCCAACGGCCTGCCCACGTTGCTGGCCCTGCTGCATCAACACCTCTCCGCACTAATGCTGCCACTACACCCCCTACACCTGCGGGCCGGTTCAGACCCCCCAGTCCCTCGTTCCCTCTTAAGCGGACAAACACGGCTCCCTCCTCTTCTCCCCGTCCTCATACCCCCTCTGTAACCTCCCCTATCACCTCTATTACCTCCTCCTCCGCCTTTCGACCTCGGAGCCCTCAGTTGTCCGAGAGGGAGAGTATCTTTGCCACGCATTACCTGCCCTCAGACAACGATGTGAATAACACTCCGGCCAAAAGGGACGTGGGAAGTGGTTTTTACACACTCCGCCAGCAATTGCTACAATCTGCTACAGGAGGCCATCAGACGGGAGAAGGAGAAGGAGAAGAAGAAGAGCAACCGCTTTTATTGGCAACACCGCAGACGGCTGCGGAAAGTGGAAGGCTCCCCGCGCAGAATATTATTATCAATAATACCAGCAGCAGCAACAGCAACAACGACAGCGATATCAACAGAAATAATTCTAATAATACGAACCCTTTGCAGCTTCCTGACCGTCGGCAAGATGGCAATGCTCCTTCTCTGTCCACTGACCCCGTGCGGAAGGACAGCTTCAAGTCGATTTCTTCCTCGCCCTCTTCGTTTCGCTCCCGCTCTCCTCCCTTGCCTCCCTCGCATCCTCGACTCTCCCCACCCGCTCCCTCTTCGATGATTACCACTCAGCATCCGCAGCGAGCCTGCGGTATCGTTGGAGGTAGTGGTGCTGCTGGTACTGGTGCTGGGGTTATTGCCTCTGATCGCCCTCACGGAATCGATGCTTTCTTCCAACCTCCTTCACGTACCCCTAATTCCCCATCCGCAGAACCCCTGCCACCATACATGCGACTTTCCAGAGCAAGAACCTGGGACTCTATTGAAACCCTTACTCCGTCCTTCCCGGATTCACACAACGCTGAAGCTAAAGCTACTCCTTCCATAGTCACCCCAGCTACAACTACGACGAATTCTAGCAACATGTCGACCTCGATGGCTCCTAAACCATCGCTCAAAGAAAATAAGAGCAGGGGCCAGTCGTCTTTAACAAACTCCATCCAGCAAGCTGACCAGTCCCAGCTCCACCCCCAGACCCGGGCCCGGGGCCACTCCTCTGATTCCCGTCGAGATCTTCCAGCCACACGCAGCTCCAGCAAGAGTCACCGTTCACGCCAAGAGACTTCGATCGAAGCTGACTTGGCCAATGCTGAACCAGCCTCTCACGTTCGGAGTCGCAAATCAAGCCATTATCTCGGCCTGTTCAAAGAGAATACAAAATCCCCAGAGCGCAAAAAGCGGGATGAGCGTCTTGCGGAAAGGGATCGGGAGCGTCAACGGGGCGGCGGCGAGGGTCATTATTCTGGCGAACGGGGAAGAGCTGAAGGTACTTCCTCGTCGTCGCGCTCTCAGGTTATACTCCTCCCCCCCGACGTGTCAGAGCCCCACCAGTTGCAACGGGAGGACGATGAGAATTCTCATGATGAGGATGGAAGGAGTGATGTACCTGATTCTACTGGCACTACTCCTACAAAACGCACTACCCGAAATCCGCTTCATATTGATATTATCGAAGAAAAACCTCGTACGGACAGGTGGAGGAAGGTTCCTGTTGACCTGCTGGATGAAATCAAGAGCTATCGTGGCTTCGTTTCTCCGTCAACAAGCACCTTGCCCACCCCGATCTTGGATCGTGGATCAGCTCTAGCTTTTGGGTCAGATTCCACCTTCGACAGCAATTCTGCCGGGTCTGACACTACACAGCGTCTCACACGGACAGGGTCAGACAGTTACGAGGACGAAGAACGGATCTCGTCCGCTCTCTACTTCCCACATCAACGCCCAGAAACAGATGATGTCGAGGTCGAGGTCGAGCAGCTCCACACTCCAGAGGAAGAGGAACCTCCCGGGGAGGAGCTCAAGCGTTTATCCCTAGAGATGAATCATGAGGGAACATTAAGCGAACCTTCCAAGCATGTGGACATATCTTTGCGTTCGGATGGCGACGCTCGACTCCTCCATGGAGACCTGCCGAAGACCTCTGAGGGTCGGGTCAGCGAGAAGAACGACCGTCCGCTGACCACGATTTCAGAGTTAGGCCCTGAATCAACGTCTGGGTCTGAATTTGCCTCAGCGGATGAAAGTGGGCTTTCTGCACGTGAGGAAGAGTCTAGTTTAACGGACGATGCAGGGGCTATTCCAGCTAGTGCTGCAACGCACTACAGTCACCACTCTGCACACTCTAGACGTAAGCATGCGCATGCGCCTACTGCGCCTCTTGGAGCTGTGGAGCTAAAGCCCTATCGACATCAAGTCGGGGGCCATACTACAGTATTTAGATTTTCCAGACGAGCTGTCTGTAAGCAATTGAATAATCGGGAAAATGAGTTTTATGAGAGGATTGAGCGTAGACATCCAGAAATGTTGACGTTTCTCGCAAGGTTCGTTTCTTTCTTTTTCTCGTCCCCCAAGCCTTTCTCCCTGGAGATTCATCTCGGAAAACACCGAATCTTGCACTCGTGGACCGTGTGTAATGATTAACAAGAATGCTAATGATGCGTTACTTCCTCCCCCTGCAG